TGTTGAGCTAAGCTGCACCCAACCATACAAAAGTATCACTTTTCACATCCTGCAGTTTACCAAATGCATGTCTATAATCTTATTGGCAACTTGTTCACTCAAAACAATCTGGTTTTCAATTAAGGCTCTGGAACAATAGAAGAAAAATGCATCCTAAGATCCTTCCTTGGATCAAAACGTTTTAGCTGGAAAATATATTGTATACTATTGTAAAAATATTTGGACAAATAATTACCTACAAAAGTTTAATGCTTGGCAAAAATAAAACAGAGGGTAAAGTTTTAAAAATACGTACTCTCTGCATATAGTTCTTGCCAGGAATTTCAAACTATTTTATAGCATATAGCTCTCTTAAAAACAAGATTCAGACCCATTGCCTCTCGGTCTGAATGACATATTTTGAAAGCCACCCACTGACCATCTATATAGGTTTCATCTAACTCCTTAAAACTGCAGCAAACAGTTTCCAACAGGTCAGGTGTACAATATTATCCTATGTAATAAAAGCCTAATATCCTAAAGTGTCCGGTCATCCAGTCATCTGTTCAAACAAAACATAAAATGCTAATGATATGCTAAGGCCTCTCAACTGCTCGATATGATGTGCACTGACCACCAAGAGGCAGACAGTTGACCAGTCAACCAATCACTAGGACATGCACTGAACACCAGGGACAGACAGTCAACCGGTCGACTAATCACTATGATGTGCACTGATCACAAGGGGACAGACACTCCAATCGGTAAGTTAGCTTGCTACTGAGGTCCGGCAGCTCTGTACTGAGCGAGATGGGCCGGACACATCTTGGAGCCCTCCCACTGTCCCTCCACGGCTAGGCAACCTCCTGCATTCCTCCCCAGCTCCGATCATGCACTGGTGGAGTCCCTGGGCCTGACCTGTGCCCTCCTCACAATCTGGGACCCCTAGTGGGATGTTGGAGAGCTGGTTTCAGCCTAATTCTGCAGGCCAGGCCTAGGGACCCCACTGGTGCACAAATTCATGTACCAGGCCTCTAGCCATTAATAATCACAAGTAGTCAAAAGAAAGAAGTGATTTACTTTCTCTTCAGTACCAAAAAAGGACACAGAAAAATCAAACAGATAAAAATGCAAACTAGCCAAATGAAAGGAATGAGCTGGGGACTCAGAAAATACCAGGTAGAATAGTTCATCAATTGGTCAATGCAGGCAGTCAACTCTGTGACTTGATGTTTAAACCTCTCAGCTGCTCCATACTCGCCCACACCAAAGGAAAAACAAAAAGTCATGCACACTTACTTCTTCAAAGAACAAATTTGGGGGCTTGGTGTTTTATCTGCTTTAATTGTGTTCTTCTTTAAAGGATGTACATGATATCAACTTCCAAAACTCTGTATGGCAACTCAAATTACAGAGTGCAACCTTGGTTATAAACCAAGAAATGTCATTAACTCTTCTAGCATAATAAGTGCTCTTGTGTTCATTTGTTTATTTCTACTTCAGGGATTCATAAACTATTAAATAGGGCACTATATTCAGCATGAAAGCTTATTTCTAAAAGAGTAAATTAATGGAGTCACTCTATTAAACTTATAAATTATGACCCATTTTTTCATAAAAAAGATACACAAGTAAATTGAATTTTATTATTTTGCTGCCAAACATAAGTATTATATTACAAAAAATTATAACATTTATTCAAAATCATTGGTGTAAAATATCAAAGTTCAGAATTGTAATAAAGTGTTTTATTAGCATAAAAGAGTTTATGAGCAAATGTTACCAATTCCTGCATCATTTTTCCAAAATAGTGGAGTGCCATAAAGAACAAAATATGCAATATTCATTTACCTCCAAAAGGAGAAAATGATACATTACTTTTTTCTTTACTTGTAATAAACTAAATTTCACTAAGTGAACAGTTTACAAAAGAAAAAAAAAATAAGGTCATCTGCAGTTAATAACTCTTTCCCGTAAAATTAGTGTCACTTATTTCTGTAGCAGACGCCTAATTCAGTTATAGGCTTGATTGATTTGACAATAGAGAATCTGGTCCAATAAAGTGGCTGATTTATTTCTAATGCTATAGCTTTTACTCTAATGTGACATCATAGTAGAATTAAGTCTCTGACATGTAAAGAAATCTTTGTAATTAATGAAAACTAAACATTCTAAGAATGAATACAGGAGTATTGTCAAAACTTTTATTAAAATCTAATACCTTCTTTGGAAAGAATAAGAACTTCCACAAAGATTATAACACAGAGTGAATATTTGGACACAAAGAACAGATTAGAATATACCATATAGTTTATGAGTTTAAATTGTTCTCTATGCTAGTAGATCTTACTTTGTGTTTTGGTCTCCCTCTGTAAGCTGCCTGCCTTTAATTTCTTGAAAATGACCTACCTTCTCTTTGTTAAAATGCAACTTAACACCAAGCATCGCTCATCTCAAAAGTGGTTTCATTTTAAATAAACAGCAGCTTGAGCAAAATCAATGAGAATCTTTGTTCCCAAATCTGGCTTTGAGATACTCAAACCAGTCAAGAAGGCGTTTGGGATGTGAGAAATTATAAGGGTGGGAAGAGTTTTTAATGTACAATAGCTTGGTGGTCAGTTTTATAAAACTATTTCTTAAAAATTCTTTTCCCAACTAAAAATGCAAGGGATTTCATAGTTACTTAAATGTCTTTTTCTCTCCTTTTCCTTTTTTGCACACAGCACTGTGCCCTCTCACTCTGAGGGTGACTTCCCTGACCCCAATCTGACACTGCACCGTTAATGTCAGATAAACCATTTAGCCCAAGCACAATTCTTTTCTGTGCAAAAATCTGCTTGAGGTGGAAAATGTAGCAGTTTGTAAACAATAAAGAGCCATGTTTCAGACCAGACAGCTTATCTAACAGAGAAGGCCTTTCATTGGGAACAGTGGGTGGGAGCCTCCGGACATAGTAGCATTTCCTATCACAATGCAGGAGACTGTCTTGGCCTCCATATTTAAGAGTTTAATGGGAAGGAGGGCAGACGGGATAAAAGAGCACAGCTGACATAGACTTTCAGCTTAAACAACAGCTAAGTGAAAAGAACTCTCCCCTCTAGCTCTAGACAATCATCCTCTTACATTTATATATTATTTGGGTTGAAAAATGAATTTGGTTGTTAAAACAGTTGCCCGTAAGGACAAAAGAACAATAATTATTTACTATCTTTGCATCGCTTAGCATATTATATAAAATTAATTTATCAAGTTGTTCTTTAGGAAAACTTTTTAAATGTATATTACTGGAATTTCTAAATATTAATCATAATTTATTTATTCTATTTTACTTACTTTACCTTGTCAGAGGACAGTTTTAGAAGCTACTAAGGAAGTTCTTTCACATACTCTTTAAATGCTACTTCTCAAGATTTTTATTTTCAAATTATTTTTTTTCTATGTTATGAAGTTGGGTGAGGATGAGATGAGAAGCAGTGGCATTAGAATTTAAAATTATTACTACTATACTGAAGTGTCTAGAGTTGTTTTTTCACCTTTAAGTTGATAAATATATTAGCCATCTGCATCTGTACATCCTGTAATCAGGAAATTGTGTTGTATCTTCCTATCAACATCTGATGAAAAACTGGGATTCCAGTTTTAGCTATAAAGTTAAAACATACACGTATATATTTACCATTTCAAAGTTAAAAAATCACAAATAGAATAACATCCTTTGATCAAAGAGAATGTTGTGACTGTCAAAGTTGGGATGACACGTAAGGGCACAACATATAATATTACACATTAAAAATAAATTGCTAGTATTTCTCTGCTTTGTCTATTTTATGATAAATATCTGAAATTCGTCAGATGGACTTAATGTGATTTGAGGGAGTTTGGAACCCTTAAAGTTCAAAAGGCAGATTCAAGGACTATCTACCCCTTAAATAACGAGTATACCATGTTTTCCCGAAAATAAGACATCTTCCGAAAATAAGACCTAGCGCATAGAAAGATAAGACATCCCCTGAAAATGAGACCTAGAGCAACTTTGGGAGAAAAAATTAATATAAGACACTGTCTTATTTTCAGGTAGTTACAAGGCTTGAAAATAGGGACATTCTTTAAAAGCATTTGCCATTATGGTTTCAGACATAAGTATGGCTATATGTTTCTCTTGCACCAAAAATTCAACTTTATTTGTTGAGGATTCTTAAAAAAATATTTGGCCAAGTTGAGAGATTTACTAATATTGTTAAAAACTCACATTTTACTAGAACAAATATTATTTTTTCAATCGAAAATAAAATAACCAGCTATTGAGACCTCTTAAGCCATTATGAATTCTTTTCATTGCTTAAGTTACTGCTGTTAAACAAACACCCCACAGGCTAGTAAAAGCAGAAAACTAGACTGATAGTAGAAAGGGCATGCAAGGAGCTCGCAGACTGTCTCAAACGACACACAGCTTGTTCTCAGTGGAGTAGGATGATGCCTGCTAGACCACTAGCACTAAAGTTCACCCCTTGATCAACACACAACAAGATTTTACAATTCAATGTGAAGGCAATAAACTCTGACTTAAACACAGAAAACCTCTATGAATTATTAAAGGAGTTTCCATAACCCTATTAATATAATTCACAGTTAATACTGACTATATCTCATTGCCAATGAGCAGGCATAAAATACATTTTTTATTTTAAATATTCACCAGTTCTTATTTCATCAACCTTTACTTAGAAAGTACTATTACTTCATTATTGAAATTGTGGTAAATGCTTAGTATCTAAGGAAGACAAAATTTTTGTAGATTGCATGAAATTCTGCAATTCCACATGCTAATGAAACTTAGTTCTTCATGTGTTATTACCAAGCACAATATTAATATTTCCCTCCAATTTAAAATTACTATAGAGAACTGACTAAAAATCCAAGTTCCTAAAAACAGAACATCTGTCTGGGTTTTTGTTCTTCCTCGCATGATAAAACAGTCATTCAAAAAAAAAAAAGCCACATTAATTTAAAGTTCATCTTACTTTGTATTCTGGAATTGACAAAAGGTGGAGAGAGATTGTCATGTGACCCAAGGTCCCTGCTGGTCATGTGGTCATAGGGAGTCCCATCTCCATAGTTCTGTAAATAAAATAACAGCACTTAGATACATTATCTAATTCAATTTTACATGTGCAAAAATCAGCACATAAATTACCCACTATCGAGACTTCTCTGACCCAAAGAAATAAAATCCACCATTCTGACCCAGGAACCTCATTATAAGGAACCTGAATTTTCACAGGTGCAGTAGTTAAGACAGGGCTTTACCATCTGCAGAGTTCAAATTTTCTTCATAACTGTTGTGAAATCTAGGGAACAATAACAACTGAACCAACTGGCATGAAATTGTTGAAGTGTTTAAGTGAAATAATGCATGCAAAGCACCCAACATAAAACATATTGTAAATATTAAGTTATTATTTTGATAGGCCCACATTGTTTTTCTTTAAAGAGCAAGGTTGTACTAGAAGAGAAAACACCCACAGCCTGTAATTGAACAGCTTTTGAAAGACCCAGGTAGACGCTTTGAAAAAGCAACACATGGTTTTTCATGTTGAAATTGCGGTGTTTTGTTATAGATAGGTTACTATGGTAGTTGTAAGAGAACTGGATCATTCCATAAGTAATTACACATAGAATATTAAAATTATTATAATAGGACTATGTATGAATGAACATCACAAATTTAGCATAAATGAGTACTTCTGGGTTTGGACAAAGTGTACCACAAAAATGATTTTAAAGCAGTCATTAACTTTGTCATTGTTAAGATCAACTCATTGTTTTAACAGGAATTTAAAATTAAAGTTTTTAAACTGCCTCGTCACTTACTTTTCGTGGAGGAATTGGTAACATATACGAAAGTAAAGCATGTACTTGTATATTATATGGTTCAAATTTCAATCTACAAAGGTGCATTAAGTAACCAAAAATGAAAGAAAAGAAAAAAAGTCATTCTGTTCAGCTGGTTGCACTGCCCATAAAGACTAAGTCAAATTTACTCAGAGGTGCCAGTTAGCATGTTAGCCAAAGGGCAGAATATGCTCGCATAAAAAAAGAGGGATAATATATGAAAAATGAAAATGAACGTCACCTCACTAGAGAAAAACTGGAACCTTAAAGTTCCAAACAAACCAATTCTCAATTGCCTTCCCTCATTTATGGAAATTAAATTGACGATGCTGTAATCTAATGCTGTCACTAATTCAGCACATAGAAAGATGTGACATACCCAGCATGGGTTTTGCAATCACTCATTCTTTACCAAGAGTAATACTGGTTATTATGAAGGGTCCCACCCTTTATTCTAAAAGCTTAACATTATCTAATTTAAACCCCTGCATAGTACTGCAAGGTAACTAATAGTATCACCATTTTAAAATGAGACAGACTTAAGCTGCACGGATACAAGTGAACCACGATAATCTTTCGCATTCAAATCCCCTCCATTTAGAAAATATAAATAGCAAAATATTGATTCAAATCATTCACCAGCATATTCCCTGAAAAGAATGGCAGAACAGTTAATGAACACTAAATAAAATTCAGGATGATCCTAACCGGATCTTGTTCTCAGAAATATATTTAAAAGTACTGTGTGTATTAAACTGAGAAGTCATAAGAAATTAAGTCTGAATGAACTAAACAATGGAGGGAAGCACTGTCATCTCCTACACTTGCTGTCAAGGGAATGGATTTATTTCTGCAAGTGCAGGCTGTAACATGAGGAGGAGGAAAGATTTCCTCAGCCCAACCATATAATGCATTAGAATGTCAAACTCGACAGCTGGTACAAGGGCTGAATAAAGTTACTGGTAAGCTTAGAGATCCTGCTATACCCTGAAGACTAGAGTGAGAACCACAAGGCCAAAGGACCGGTAAAAATGGGTAACTATGGCTTGCTGAAATGTCCTCATTTTGACAGCTTGATTACCTACCTTCCTTGCCTCTTATGCCAAAACAGAGACCTCCCTCCCCCCAAATTTATGTGGATACTTAAAGCAAAATGTTATTCTCCCTACAGAATGCTTCAACTATATAGCTGGTTGGGAGAGGGGCCAATGTCTGCTCAGTTATGGGCTCTAAGTCTATTTTTAATTTGGGGCATTATATGCATATTATAAAAGCTGACATGGATTCTACAGAGCTAGAAATGATTCAGGTGAAGTCAAACTATATAAATAGGAAAGAACATAAAAGTCCCTCTGGTTCTACTTCTTCATTTTATCAAAATGAAGATCAAAGAGGTGACGTGACATGCCCAAAGTCATATACACACAAAAACACTCATGGCCTAACCACTTCTTTCCCTCCCATTTCGTGGCCATCCCATTACATCAAAAATAACAACCAATTAGTAATGGAGGAAACCTGTGAAAAAGAATAGCAAAAATCTGAGACCAAACAAATGAATGAATCTCATTGGTGACCAAAGGAACTACCGGTGGGATAATAACATGTTCAAAAAGTGAAATCAACACAGATTTATTATGTAGAGTAAATTGATAAGCTAGTCCTTCACACCACATCTTCAGAATTATTCAGTGGTCTATTTACATCAATATATTCCAGAGATACAGTACTAGGATTTTGTCCAAAGCTGTGTCAGCTACAAAAAAAAAATAACTTTCTATAATACTAGATCAATAACTGGCAAAGTAAGGGCAAATATTTAATGAAGGATTTTTCTTCTGGTTAGCAGAAGTAGAACAGGTGTCAAATTCAATAACAGCATCCAATAAGAGAATGGGGGGGAAAATCCAAACACAAGCTGATCCTCATTAAACTTAGTGTGCATATATATCTGTGCAGTTTTGTGTGCGCTTGAGAGAAACTCACCTTCGGTCTGTCAATTTACATATGTGAGATGTCTGGATGTGGGAGAAGAGATTAGATATACTTACCCTGGACGGGCTTGGATGTCCTCCATTCCCCCAGGACCCTGAGCTACTTCTGTCTTCTACATCTAGGGACAAGAGAAAAGTTCTTTAGGCTTTCTTGCAATAATTCTTTCTTTTTGTGTATGCACTTTTAAATTAATGTTTCAAATTAATCTCCTGTTGCCTTTAATTAAGAATCAGGCACGGGGCTACCACAATGATAGTGGCTTCTGACCCATCTACTTAAATTAACTCATTTAAATTCACAGCAAAAAAAGTGAACTGGACCCTCAGGAACCAGAGGTATGAGCATAAAAAGTATTTCCATCTTTCGCAGTGTTTCATAGCCTCGACTTTTAAAGACATGAAACTGCACTGCGTGTTTTATTTAAATCTTTTGGACAAAATAAGTGTGACTACACTAACACAACCTTAATACAAAAAAAAAAAAAAGCACAACAAAGCTACATTCAGGTAAATATTCATACTAACACTGGCAGCATCCATGCCATAATGTTCTTGAATACTCTATTCTCCAGCCCCAGCTTGTCACTCCAGACAACAGACATGCAGCAACATCCACATGACAAAACAGAATTCGGTCATCTATTTCTACCCATGCACTACATGGGCATCAGGATTTTGCTCTTTAAGTTGAGACAACACTGTCTCAGTCTTTTTTTTTTTTTTTTTTTTTTTTTTTTTTTTAATAGAGTTGGCCATTTGCTCTACGATCCTTAGTCTGGGCATTGAGATGCGGAAATTAAAGTTGTCCAAGTTTTACTTTGATAAGTGACAGTGAGTGGAGCGATCTGCATGAACTCCACAAAAGGTGGCGTTCTTCTAAAATCTGTAGCAGCAGTGTGCTAAGGCTGACCAGTTGCTGAATGCTCAATCCGTGTGTCAAGTGGCAAGTACTCAGGACAAAGAATAGAAAAACTAAGTTATCATATTAATTGTTTAAAACATAAAAGTGGTTTAAAATTTTAAAGATCAGTCACTCTATATTTAGAAGCAGCTTTGAGATTTTTGATGAAAGGCCCCTTAGAAGCATAAAAAGTTTTGCTGTTCTATTATTTTGATCACGGTTGATAACAGATGGCCGTCACAAACTTCCTCTGACAGAATTGGAGGAGGAGGTGTGAAACTTTGGTTCAGCAGACATAATCCCATTTATTGTGTTTCCTAACATTTCAGTGATACTGTTTATTCTCTTCATGCACTACTGTCATTCTTTTTATTACTGCTATTTTATTATCAGCAAAAGAAGTCATAGTGTAATTAATTGACTTATTTTGGGGATACAGTGGAGTACACATTGTTTTAGAATATATTATGAGATGGAATAGAACAATAATAAAACACAACTATTAGCACTAAACTTGAATTCTTTCTTTTTTAAACAAATTATTTTGGTTCCTTTTCTTGGTGCTTCAGAAGATCTTGTAACAGCAAAGAGATGCCCCCTGAGGACAGCTAAAATCAGGGACTGTGAGCTTTAAGGAATGTCAAGAAAGCATCCAATCTGGATAAAAGGTACAATACTTTCTCCAAATCTGCTGTTTAATGACACAGCCTCCTAGCCTCTCCTATGTATACAGAACTAGAGTACATGAAGAAATTACTTAGAACCCTCTGGATTCTCACATGAATAAGTTTTGCACTGCATCCTTAACCAAAAAGCAAATATTTTCAGCAAAGACAAACAAACAAAAACAACAACACTGTGACAAAAAATCTCTCAAACACTGCAGCTTTTCAGAAGTCTGGCACATCTTAAATTCTTTTTTACCTGAAACAGTCAATTTGGACTAATTGGAAAAATTTCTGCTCTTAAATGTGGCCAAAAAATAATGAAGGAAAAGGGGTGAATCCCTAGCTCTACCATAAGATGTTGTCATATTGTTCAGACACACTTTGTCTTGTCAGTTTTTAAAAAGGATTTTAAACATAAAAAGTAGGCAGAGCCCTAGCTGGTTTGGCTCAGTGGACAGAAAGAGCATTGGCCTGCAGACTAAGGGTCCTGGGTTCGATTCAGTAAAGGGTACTACCTTGGTTGCAGGCTCCATCCCCAGCCCTAGTCAGGGTGTGTGCAGAAAGCAATCAATTGATATGTCTCTCTCACATCTACGTTTCTCTCTGAGTGTGTGTCTCTCCCCCTCCCTCACTCTCTAAAAATCAATGAAAAAATATACTCTGATGAGGATTAACAACAACAACAAAAAAGTAGGCAGAGACAAGGAGGAAAAAAGACCATAGTAATACTAGGCTAGCAGTTCTCCACCAGGGGCAGGTCTGGTCCCCAGAGGACATCTGGCAATGTCCAGATAGATTCTGAGTCATCCCAGCTTCGGGGGGGGGGGGGGGGGTTGATGAGAGGAGAGGGTGTACTGGCATCTAGTTGGTAGAAACCAGGATGCTGCTAAGCATCCTACGGATACACACAACAATCCCCCACAACAAAAATGTTCTAGCCCCAAATGTCAATTGTGCCAGGATAGAGAAGTCTTGTGCTAGAGGAAAAATCATATTAAGGAGCAAAAAAGAATTGATTTGGAGAACAGATATACTAGAACTTGATTTATAATTTAGTATGAACTCTTGTGACATGCATTTTTAACCCAGACTTGAGCTGCAGTGTTGCAGAGACCTTCATATGCATGTTCTATCCACAAAGATAAAGGAAAAATAATGGTCAACCATGCAGTGTGTTAATTAGCAGGCAGATAAAACACATCAAAACTTGAGTATTCTCAATTAGGCAATTTCAAAACTGAGCAATTCACTAATTAAAAATGCTGGAAGTTTCATTTTTTCAAAAAAAAAAAAAAAAAGTTAAATGCTGGCTGGGTTCCTTTACAAATAGATTCTCAACCAATCAAATTTTTCTGCTCTTTTGCCATCCTTTTCCATTTCCACCTTTCTCATTTCCTGACCTCATGCTGTGTGCCTTCCTCCTATTTACTGCTCTCTTTTTAACAGGTTTTGCCATCCCTTGCCCTCCTGCTAGATTTAGAAGGAGGAATCCCAGCTCTCCAAAACCTAAGAGAACAATCATATGATTGTTGATTAGATTTTATCTTTGAAACTATATCTGTATGACTGGTGCTCAATCATCTATAGCAAGAAAACACAAAGCTATAACATGTACATGTGTAACTCATAATGAATGTAAACATGCTACTTTTATGTTTTTTATTTCTATCTTCCCTCCCACTGAGTTTCATCAGACCTGCCAGTAAATTAGCATGCATTCCCTCAGCAACTATTCCAGCACTCTCAAAGTGCATCTGAGGTCCACTGTGCTTCTGAATCTGTGGTGTGCTCATCAAATATCAGCATCTTAGGGTCCAAGACAGACCTAGTGAGTCTGGATTTCTGTGAACAGGGTCAGGGTGGGGGGAAAACGCACTGTGCTTTTAACAAGGTCCCAAGTAATTTTCATGTACACAGGTATTTGAGAACCACCAGCCGACTCTATTGGAGAATCAAGACAGATGCATGCCCCACACCAACAGTTGCCTGACTCACTGACTCTCTTTAAATGCAGGTTTCAGCAGCATCCAATACACACCCCCGTCACATCTGCATCCCAGCAGTTCTTGCTTAGACTCACTTTTTATGTAAGCCCGGCACATGGCCTACACTTGGCCATTGCTTACTCCCTGTTGGTATATCTGAACATTGCACCACATACTGGTGTACCTCCGTGATTCTGTACCTCTATTCCTTTTGCCTAAACTGTTCTTCATCTCTCAAAACAAAACAAAAAATATCAGCAGCTAACATTTAGCGAGCTTGTGTGTCAGACACTGTGCTAAGCATTTCAATGCACTAATAATATACCCATTTTATATATGAGAAAGCTTAGGCTTCGATGACAATAAATGGCAGAGAAGGCTAACACAGGTGCTGTCAATGCAAAAAAACTAGTAAGTGTTTTTCTCCACCATAAAAATATCCTTTGGCTGAGCTACAGATCTCTACAAGACCAGCTCCAATGAATGTTACCTTCAGTCATTTCTCTCCAGCAGAAAAAATGTATTCATTTGGATGTTTATGCCCATTCTGTGTTCACAAAAGATTACAGAATTATACAACAACAACTATATAAAAGTAAATATTAAAATAAATCAAGAGACTGGAAAATAAAAGAGGAGGACAATAAAGCCATAGGGGTGGTGAGCTTATCAAAATGTACTCTGCAATGGAGTGGGAAAAGGGTGAATATCCTAGAGCCTACTGAGTAGGCAAGCAAAGAGCGAAACAAGATTCACAACCAGTATCCCTGTTCTGTTGCCATGTCTATCCAAAATGAGGATCAATAATAGAGAGACAAAAACCTTGGCAACAAAAGGGAAAGGAGAAAAGCAAGTCGATGATAGAAATTATTCTTCCATGAGACTGAAATGGACTCAAATGTGCAAGATTTTTTCCCCCCAAAATTTAGTTTACCCTAAACTAGGACAGATATGGTAACTTTCTTGGTATGGACAGTTGCTTTAGGAGGCAGCCTGACAATCCACAAATTTTAATTTGAGGAGTTATGCGTAAGTCCCCTCTCACATGGCTGATATTTCAGCATCAAAACACCAAAGTGAGGTGAAGGGAGAACACTCCATTTAGAGAAAAGAACAGAAATAATTTTTCATTTCTATGATTTCTCATCTACATTCATTAAACTGATGGTTTGATTTCTCAAATTTTCAGGAGATCAAATATCAGAAAACAGCACTGGCATTTGAGATGGAGGCCTGGATTTTAATAGCAACTCGGCATAATCCTGCTCTAGGGTCTGAGACAACAGACACTATTAAATATTATATCTTCCCATCATCATGGAGACTCGCGGGCTGTGTATATCTGGGCCTCCTCCTAATTTTAGAAGTACCTGGCCCATAGGAAATTCTCAGGAACCAGTATCTGCCATGAAAGCCTAATTTACTAATACCACCCAAAATCTAAGATAATTAAACCACATAAATATGTAAAATGGTAACGTAGTCAAGGAAATCTCACTCTCACTTTTAAAACCACTAGTTTTGCTTAGTAGGGCAGAAACTTTCAAATATTCTCCTGGATTTTA